ATACATATGTATATCTACGAGTATACATATTTTCCTGCATTCATACAGGTATCTATTGATGGTTTCCTACATTAATAACTGTTAATAGTTAAAGTTCTTTTATCAATACATACTATTAAAAAAAAAAAATGTATAAAATTAAAATTTTTGAGCGGCATTAATTGAGAAAGCTTTACACCTTTTGCCACGATGTCTCATAGGTTATAATTAGTGTGAATTAAGTTTTAAAAAGTTCCTTGAAATTGAATAATAAATTTAAGGCAAAAACTATTTCATGGATTTTTGAACAATTTTAATAATCATTGATTTTTCAAATAATTATTATAGTTTATCGTGAACTATACCTCAGTAATCTAATAAACTTTGACATCACAAAACTGAGAAAAAAAATTGATAATCATAACTAGGTGCAAAAGGTTGAGAGTAGCTTTACCACTACATAGATATATTAAAAAAATATTAAACCATTTAAAAATAGAAATATCGTTAGTATGGCGCGCGATATGTTGATTTTTCATCGTATGGACCGTAGTTATTTTTTTGTGTTATAGTCCATTTTTGAAACGATCAATAACAACAAAAACAGGTGTTAAAACATGCAAATTGAAAGTTAAATATCTCGAAAATTGGCATCAAAACTCAATCATGAATTTACGGGGTGTCAAGAACTTATACCCCAGTTTTCGTCGTTTTTGTCAGATAGTTGATTTTTGCATGATCTACCTTAAAATTGTTTTTGGACTGAAATGCGTTACTTTTGCTCAAAAAATTTATATACGACAATTTTTTTTCGTTCTCATGCTATAAAAAGTGACTAAAATAAATTTATTCAGCATATGTAATGCATTCAATTTTTAGTAAAAAATTAAGGTGGCTTGGGTGATTAGTACCATATCTAGGGTAGGGTGCCATAAGGGCCCCTAAAAAATGAACGCTTTTCGACGGTAAATTTTTCAATAAATGTAGTTAATTCGATAAAACCAAAGTACAAGATCAAGAAATTGCCAGAAAAGTATCGTGACATTATACTTGCGAAAATTGGGAGATGTTGCAAGGAAAGCCGGATTAATATTTCATACTTTTCTACTGATTTTCTCTTAGGTTAAGTTGTTGACCCTATATTTTTAAGAATTTAATAGATTCTTTGTAAAAAATTACACAAGAAATATTTGAAATTTTTGAGGTTCATCAAAGATTTCCGAAGATATATTCGATTTTGTGACCACTGTCGATAAGAGTAGGTGTTAACGTAGGGTGTTAAATTGGTTAATTTTTAGTAGCGATTTGCGAAAAAATTAAGTCGTTGACCCCCGTATTTTCTTATCGCAAATGAATTTGGAATACTTTATTTACATAATTTCAGAATTTCAGAGGTTTTGATCAAGCCGATAAAAATCGGCCAAGCCACCTTAAATTGCACGGAAAATTTGAAAAAGCAACTGTGCCCAGGTGTGACCTTTACCTTTCTTTAGATAATATTATTATTCCACAGATTCTCTACGGCACATAATTTGTCCACTTCAATATTAAAATTGACAACCTTCCCAATTGATTATCGTTCAACATGAACGTTTGGGCGTGCTAAAAATTGAAGGATGGATGTGTCGACAATAATGTCAATTATGACGCGAATAAAACTTGATAAAATCTCATATAGTGCACTAGCCCGATCTCATTGCAAACGCATCTTAATTATTTTTCTCAAAAATGTAAAAAGTTATCGATTTTGTTGTCGGAAAAAATTGTGGATCCCATTTGTGTATATTTGCTGTAACAACTGGTACAAAACCACTGTAAAAGTGATTAGCAAAAGACGCCGGACCAGTTCGGCCCAGCGGAGCGTAAGCCAGCTCCTACACTTGTGTCACGCCCCCGTTCGCGTGGCACTGCCCCGCCAGCTGGAATATTCGGTTTCATCGATCATCGATCTACAACAGCTCACCATCTCAAGCCCTCCGCTCCGCGATACTCGCACGAATGACCGTCGGCTAAGAACGACCGGGGGACAAAACAACGAGTCACGAGCGTATCGAGTCTCCATCGATCTTATACTCGGGTAAGCTATATAGACGACAAGTTACTCTCGAGCGAGTACAGCCGATCGTCAATCCTCTCACGCTGCCCACCAGCTCCTTCATCCCGTTTATTCCACGTGCGAGTTTTTATTTCAGCGTGGAGCTTTCGGGTGCGATAAGACGCGGGCATTCCGATAAAAAGAGTCTCGAAGCGCGTACGCGCACCGTGGCTGTGCAGACAAAGGGTCGAGATAAGGAGGCGAATCGTGGGGGAAAAAGAAATGAGAGCTGGCCAGGGTTTTTTTTTTCCTTTTTGTGAGGAAGGTTGTGTGCACTTTCTCGGAGAAGGCGGGAGCTATTCAATACATCGGTTGAGGAAAGTTCGAACAGAGTCAAAAAATACGGGTATCTCGTTCTTCGGGTATATAGAGAAGCGCTAATCCACTTATGGAAGTTCCGTTTCTACTATGCCGGTCAATAGCGATACTTGTGATTTGGTGTTTGTAAAACGTGGAACAAAAATGTATTAGTTTGTTCAAAAATTTTTTTTTTTTTATAAACCAAATATTAATTTTTATAGCTGTTTTTTTAAGTATATTGTAGAACAAGTTCGGCTACTTTTAACTTAGTGGTATATTTTTCTGTTTTTCTTGTAAAAAAGAAAACAGCCAATAAAATATTAATTTTACTACTAATAGCATTCTTCAAACTGATAACAGTTGTGGACATTTCTTAAACTTAAAAGTCTTACGATTGTTGAATTGAAAAAAAAAGTAATACTTCTGTCACAATTAAAAAATTACTGTTTCATAAGACCTGGGTTAAATTCTCTTGTTTTTTTTGGCATAGTTTTCATTTTTGTTTTCTTTACGAAGTGTTCAAACTGACAACGTCGGTTTAATGCTACTTTATCACAATAGGGTACTGGTTAGTGTCAATACTGCCAAGGCTGCAATTTTTTTTTAAATATAAAAAGTCCCTTACACTTACATGTAATATACATATGTATATCTACGAGTATACATATTTTCCTGCATTCATACAGGTATCTATTGATGGTTTCCTACATTAATAACTGTTAATAGTTAAAGTTCTTTTATCAATACATACTATATATTGTTTTGTTGTTGTCGTTTTAAATATTGTTAAATAAAGTTAGGGTATATCATAAATGTGTCACAGATGACAGTACAAATACTACCTTTCTTTCTATAAAGTGTTACGTAGCCACAATCTTTTTATATGAGAATGAAACAAAATTATTCAACTTTTGAAAAAGTACACGCCTACACTAAAATTACCATAAGTCTGTATTACTTAAATTTTCTAATCAGATTGGCCTTGATGAGAAATAATATTAATAGTAGCTACAATGGCTACCATCGAACCTTGCATAGTAACGTATACTTAAAATCATAGTAATTTCAACAAAATTTTAGTTGTATTTTTTTTGTTATTGTTTAATGACTGTAGGAAATAGTTAAACAGGATTTAGAACCCTTCATCTTCTATGTACATGTACAATTTTATTTGCTTAAACCAAGACTATGTACTTGAAAATTTTAAATACTCATTAACGATGTTAAATTAAAATAAATCAATTTTCAAATTAATAAGATGGATAATCCAGGAGCGGGTTAATAATGCAGTGGTACCATGCAGGGTTCAAGCTCTAGTTGGTCTATTTTATCAAATGTGAGAAGTGAAGAAAAAGAGTTTTGACCTTGTACATAATAAAAAAAGTAACTAATACGTAAGAAAATTTATTAGAGTATTATCTGACTTACATTTTTTAAATATCACAATTAAGGTTATGATAAAACCAAAAAAACAATTTTTTTTTTATTACTATGTTAATTGTTGACGCTAAGTAATTTAATCTTTTATGAAAAAATTATTCTTGAAATAAGGCAAATTAATAACTTTAATACTACAAGTTTGTCATTGAATAATAGGTATAAATGTAATACATAACTTGAACTTTTTATGAACAGCACAAAATTAATTATTCTTCAAAGCAATCAGAAGATCTTTCATCAGATGCATCTGTGAGTCCGGGATGCTGTTAAATCCCTCAGTTTTGACCATTTCATCAATTTTGACGATATAGTTAATCGCTGCTTGCTTTAATTTTGAAACTTTATAAGTATCGGCCAGCATGAGGTACCGAAATGCATTACTATGCGTAAGATTATCCTTACATATGTTAACTATCATTTTTTTCAATAGGTCCAGGTCATAGTAATCAGCTGCTTTCAATAAATCTTCCGAAATGTTGAGAGCCACACTGTTGTCTAATTTTCCAGAGTATATGTATTTAAGCATTTCTTGTACAACCTCAATTTTAAATTCTTGAATCTCGACTTTATTTTCGGTCTTTTCTTTCATCTCTGTTGTAAACATTTTTTGAAAAACTGAGCTTCGTGAGGCCAAAATTGCCTTGTGAGCTGAGATTTCAAGACACTCATCTTTAATGCGAGTTACAAGTATCACATCACTGAATTCTCCACTTTCCAGCAGATTTGTTAGATCCATGTCACTGTGTGATGGTGAATTTTTGTCATCAATCTCTATTATTGATTCATCGATATCCGGAATGAAACAAACAATTTCTAAATTCTCGGGTACATTGTACTCAAGAAATAATTCATATTGTTTAAAATTGAATATTAAAACTTTTAAACCAGCTTTCTGGACTATATTATCATTTTTTCTCTCTTGTTTGCATCCATTTGAGTCAACAATAGCGGTCTTGACATTTTTGTTCAATTCATCGTTTGTTAAACAGCATTTATAAAAGTACAAACTTACAATTTTTCTATCATTATCCCATGCTAGTAAGCAATTATTCCGTCCAGCATTGAAACAATGTGACTTTACAGCGTGTTTTAATAAATCTTTATACCTCGGAATACACCATCTATACCAATGTGGGTTTGTAGATAATCCACACGGTTTGTCTGTAAAGTAATTCCTTACAGGACTTTCGCTCAAAAACATTTTACACAGTTAGATTCAGTTACCACAAAAACTTATTTAAATATGTTCAATACAAGACAAGATTTTTTAATTTTCTGTTAGCACTAAGGCTGCAGTCACAATGTCACATGGAGTGCAATAGGGCGTGCAGGATTGTCCCTAAGGCCGCAGTCACATGGAGAGCGTAACGCGTAACGCGTAACAATTTGAGCCGATAAGAGTGAGAGAGAGGTAAAATACACGCACCTCTCTCTCAATTTCATGGGCTCAAATGGTTACGCGGTACGCGTTACGCTCTCCATGTTCCCGCGGCCTTACGCGATACGCGAGGCTTTTACGCCTTTTCTATGTGACCACAAAGTGGCGTATACCTAACCTTCCTTACTTTTACGCGATACGCTATACGCTTTACGCTTTACGCGGTTCCATGTGCCCGAGCCCTTAGAATCTGAGGTACCGAACCACCCATAGAGGTATCCCGAATAGAAATGTGCCGTAGCTTGCCTGACTGCCTGTGCAGGTCCTGCACAGGCAAGATAATAGGCATTTTCTGCATATGTGAGTTCAGGCTGTCCTGTATACAGGTCCGGTGCTCTTGCCTGAACTGACATTAACTGTCTGCTACTACAGTATAGTCTTAACCTTTTTTTCAATTAATCTAAAATGGAGCAAAACCATTATTCTCGACGAAAGATGCGAAATAAAAATAAAATGCAAATTATTCGTAAAAGAAAAATTTCGGAAAAAAGAAAACCAAACGGATTTAACAGAAATAATGAAAATAAGCTAAACTTACAGATAATATTAGTGATAACTCAGCTGTACAGTTTGATAAGCAAGAAATTCAGAGCGATATTCAGCAAGAAATTTTTAAAGAATTAAACACAACTAATGACTGTAAGAAAAAAACAAAAAACAAACAAGTGTTAATATTGATGAAGTTCGTGATTTGTGTGTACAACTTCGGAAATGGAAAAGAGAGTTTTATTGCAAATAGCCACATGGATAAACTTTCAAAAATATTGCAATATCACATTCCCAGCTTACCTGTTTTCCATAAAACTTAACTAAAATCAACTTCTCTGTTTAAAAACTTTTTTTTATGTAACATAACCTTACTATTTAATTGCGTAAAAGTCAGTTCAGGACTAGATTATATAGAGGCCAACGCTGCGCCTATCACCCGACGACTCGGGATCCGGGGCACTTACTGACCACTCTATGAATTAATAAGATGTTAATTAATAACACAAGTGCCTATCACCCAGCGACCCGTGGCGCTTACCGGCCACTCTATGAGTTAATAAAATGTTGATGGATAATAAAAGCCCCTGTCACCCATGACCTGGGGNTTAAGGCAAAAACTATTTCATGGATTTTTGAACAATTTTAATAATCATTGATTTTTCAAATAATTATTATAGTTTATCGTGAACTATACCTCAGTAATCTAATAAACTTTGACATCACAAAACTGAGAAAAAAAATTGATAATCATAACTTCTAATGTTCTTGATTTATAATCAAATTTTTATAAAATATTTAATATTGCTGTACTATTTAATTAAGGATTTTTTTATCAAACGTAAAAAACGAAAGGAGTAATTAAAATTCCTTAATAATTTAAATATAAGTAATAAATACGTTTTTAGTTTCGAATAAATCCTGTGAGAGGCTGATAAATAAAGCACTTTTTGTTCCCTCGATTTGTGAATAAATTAAAAAAAAAAACCCTTGTAAATAACAATGTGTTTGTTACTCAATAAGTTTTCCCTCCCATATAACTATAAGCATCAGGAAGACAAATACTCGCGTATTTGTAGTATATATTGAATGAACGTTTATTGCACACAACTAAGCGACGCATTTGTATGAATAACAATAACTTTCACACGAGTGCGATGTGGAAGTCGTCTTGTCGGAACTTTTCGCAGAGTAGAAGGGCTTGTTCGCAGAGTTTTATTTCCTCACCGATAATGGCACTCTGTTGAGTGCGTGTAACTTCGTAGATGTGCTGTATAACGGTAAAGTTGCTCGAGCAAAAGTTTTCCAATGCTGAAAGTTGGACGGCCGGACGCTGGAGTGCAATTTATGGCACTAGGAGTTAGACGTTGAGTTTTCTGATGCTTATGAAATTTAATTCAAATCCGTTGATGAGCAGTACGGTATTATGAAACTTATGTATCAAGTGTTTGTTAACACGACGCCTTAGCTTTCAAAGTTTGTCATGCGGATAGTATCATTGTTCTAGTTTAATATTCATTTCTAGAAATTTGCCAACATTTACAGCGTAAAAAAATCTAAATATGTTTAAGGTGAATGTCCCAATTATCAATCATTTTTCTTTATATCTTAATATGAATTTTTTCAAACATTAATGAATTGTTCTTGGGGCACTAAACATCATTGTTTTGATACAAATCCAACTTGTTATTCATTGAATATATCTGACGCCTGTAAAAAGAAAAACAAAGTGACCGATAACTGGAGCATTTCGTCTGCTTGAATGAGCGATTATTGGGTCATTCACCTTTAACATAACATTAGAAAAAGTAATATTTAAAAGTGTTAGTCTATAAACAAATTTTTTCCTATGAAAACAACCGAGTTAAAGAACAGAAAAAAAAATTAATAAACCGAACAAGCGATCAGGTAATTAGCTCGATGGGTGCACGCTGGATGAAGAAATAAAATTTTATCGGCCTTATTGTACATACCCTCGACTCCCTCTTGAAATGAAAAAAAAAAAAATTAATAAAACAAAAGAGAAAAATACACTCGATGTACGCGGGAGAAAGAGAAAGAGCTCGCGTTAATCGTCAAAAATAATCAATGAGCTCTGCCCCCACTGTTCCGACACGCCTACCTCAAATCTCCCCCCCCCCCATCTGTTTACGAGCTCAAAAAACCTTATAATTAAACGTGGTTCGCGAACGATATAAACAGCCAAAAGGAACAGCAGCAACAAGAACTATAATCTCCAGCTGATCATAATTGCAGATCCTTGTCGATATCTTAATAAGGGAGGCGGTACTTCGTTGCGCAATCGGGACATACATATGTTTTGGCGAGCGAAAAAGCAAAGTTTGGCGGATCGTGTACTTAATATAGTTTTTTTGTTCTTTCTCGAAGATAACCATCTCCTTGGCAGTCCCTCCCGACAAATCAACCACTTGGTGGAACACGTACAGTGCTTTTCCATTGTGCAATGACGGCGTGGAAAAACAGAGTCTCGACACTCTCACTGTATCGAGTTAGAGCTCCCCTTTTGTTAGTTATGTACATATAGGTTATGTATATTATTGTATAGCGGAGATTTTGAATCAGTCTACTGTGGGAGAGAAAAGGAAAGTAGTGACGGTGGTTGCTTTACTTTAGTGTAGCTTATTTTAATACAGTAATTACATTTGTTACCACCTAGGCCCTTACGACCAAGGAAATAGGATTTTCCTTAGAGATAATAGGTTATGTGTTAAGCTTATCGATCATTCGTTGTTAGGATATTCTTCTTTGTTTTTTGAAATTCCAAACTAAAAGTGCAATAAGTCAACGTTGTTCATAAAAATATTGAGGTGACTTTTGAACATTATGCAAAATGTTATTAGTTACACCGATCACGATCGCTATCTTTACAAAATTGGGGCCCCTCGAACAGTGGCTCCTGAAATCTAGTCCCTTAATAATCGTCGCTTTTCTCAATCCCTTTCTTACCATTTCCTCTTTCGTGAAACTTGGCCCACTTTACCTCTTCGCACGTCTTCAACAAATTGCTCCAAGGAATAAGTATAGACGTACAGAGGTGTGTGTGTATCCACAATCTCTACCGTACAAAAGGCCGGCCGGGACGATTCCTTCATGTCGAGATGAGGAAGGCGAAGCCGAGCTCAGGATCCTTCTAATTAATTACTCCCGGGAGCCACGCGCGAGCTTTTCTCTATGTGTGTGTATATGTCTCTCGTTCGCGCTGGTGCTACCGTGCCAGTCCATTACGCGCCCCTGAATCCAATTATCCAGCTTAATGTAACGATCGACCCTTTTACTCCAAGATCGGATTCAAGAGAAACTGAGATGGATTTTTCTTAGAGTGCCACGTGAGACTCTTTTGATTTGCGAGGAAGGCCTTTTTGGTCTGGGTATGGAATTGTTGTCTTTCTTTTTTTTTGGTACAGTATTTTAAAGATTAGTCGCATCAGAAATGGTTAGGATTCATTTCGCTCCCATGCATGTACGAGGTGAATTTTCGTGAACGTGGCAATTGTTTTTGGTATCTGATTTCAAAATTTTTTTTTGTTTTGTCACAGTTTTCAGCACTCTAATTTTTTGTTTATCAAAAGCCGTGGTTGATTGAATACTTAACAGGATCTTAATACCGATAAATTTTCAGTAGATCAGTGGCAAATTAATCTCGTGGTGGTCAAAAGATCATCAAACATATGTTGCCCGTTCAAAGAGAGGTATCTTTCTTTAAGACGATATGCCAATTTCGTCGCAGAGTTTTCTGATTTAATTTTTANGGTGATAGGCGCTTGTGTTATGAGTTAACGTTTTTTTTTTTTTAATGTGTCCAGTAAGCGCCTCGGGTCACTTGGTGATAGGCCCTTGGGTTATTAATAACCATTTTATTAATCCATAGAGTGGCCAGTAAGCACCCCGGGTTACTGGATGATAGGCATTAGTGTTATGAGTTAACATATTAATATTTTATAATGTGGCCAGTAAGCGCCTCGGGTCACCAGGTCATACGCACATATATTATTTAAGATTTTATTAATTATTTTAGTGGCAAGTAAGCGCCCTGGGTTATTGGGTGATAGGAGCTTGTGTTATAAATTAACATTTTATTATTACTTAATGTGCCCAGTAAGTGCCCCAGGTCACTTGGTGATAGGCCATTGGGTTATTAATTAACATTTTTATTAATCTATAGAGTGGCCAGTAAGCACCCGGGGTCATTGTATGATAGGAGCTTGTGTTATTTATTAATATCGTATCAATTCATAGAGTGGTCAGTAAGTGCCCTGGGTGGCCGGGTCCCGAGTCATCGGGTGATAGGCGCTGGTATATATACATTATATGTATACATTAGCGATGGTTCACAGCTTGGCCGGTGGTGGCGCTGATAAAGAACCGCTCTGAAGGTTGCGGTCGGCAGCAAATTTCTGACCACCATCGTGGCCAACGCTGTTGCCAACGCTGATCCAGATATTCAGGCGTGTATCTGATGTTGGACTTGACAAGTACGGTCTTGATATAGTCAGTCGGTCCAAATCCTCTAGAATGCACATCTGTATACATAGTGAATATATGTATACTTTTTTAAGGAATTGAACCGACCGATCGACCGACCGACTACTAAAAAAAACTACTCATGACATAGTTTCGACAGACACCCGTGGGTTTTCATAGTCTGATCACTTTTACCCACGTGGTCTATGTTCCACATGTGCTTCTCTGTCTCTTTCTCCATAGAGGTAAAAAAATGAAGAGGAAGAACTGTAGGAGTTAGGAGTGGAGCAAACTAGTTTTTTCACTTGCAGCTGGCGTATTCGAACGAGAAGTTAGCTCAAAACTATCTATATACGTTTGCATTGGCTTGTGATGTATGCGTTGGTGATAATGGTTGGATGAAGGAGTGGTGCAAGCTTACATTATTATTAATGCTTACCTTCTCGAGAAAACGTTAAATAAAATGTGTCAGTGACCTTTCCATCGATATTTATGCAAGACATTGTGTTTCATATGCGTGGCTACGTGACATCAAATATTTTCATTATTCAACGCATGATTGATCACATATATAGTATGTGTTAATTATTTATGAATAATAATGTATGCTAATATAGTTTAGTACTTTTATATACTTATTCAGTTTAAGTCTAGTCATACAGACATTTTTATTTTTTGCCGTTGATTCCAAATTTCTGATTCCGTTGATTTCCAAATCCAGGAGAATTTGACTCGTGCACAGTGCACACACTATATATATATATACATATACATATACATAGCATGTGTGTGTGTACACGAGTCAAATTCTCCTACTTTACTAGAGCAGGAAGTAGACAAGAGAGCTCCCTTAAACTGTAATCATTTATTTGTGTGTGTGTGTGTGTGTAATGGTTACTTTGAGGAACTTTTTTTGATGAATTGGTCACTATATATATATAGACGTACAGCAGTGTCAGTATTCTACCATGGCGTAATAAATACATAAAAGGGGGCTCTTCACATAGAGATATAACTAATGTCAGATATTGAAAATATCTCTATGGCTCTTCAGCCACCGAATCGATCAGCAAATCAGAAGACTTAGAACAAGCGGCCTGCCATATTGTATTTTCTACCAATGAGTCCAGAGATTGTGCTGTTTAACAACTGCTATACGTAATCTCTCGATTAATAATATGATTAAAAACTTTTATATGTAAATATAATCTTACTTCTTACTAATATATAAAGCAAAGTCGCTAAAACCGTTGTAATCGCTAACCGCAAAAACTACTAAACCGATTTTGCTGAAATTTTGCATACTGATTCTTGTTAATTCCGAGATGGTTTTCGCATAGTTTTTTTTCTTGAGAAGTTAATAACAATAGCGATAAATAAGCTCAAAGTTTTGCTAAAATACGCTATAGCTTTGCGCTTTAGTTCAGTAGGATCCACTAGGTAGCGTCGAGGTAAAATTGAAGCCACCCGCAATTAAAGACAGTTAAGAGTGGTTTTAAGATGCCCCATCGACTTGTCAATTATTGTAGTCGTTCGTCAGCAATCAAGACCACAGTGGTTAGGCATGCAGCTGGGCATCCCGACTACCGATGACACTCTTCCTTCATAAGCAATTAGGCAAGCGAAATAAATCAGTTTTTACCTTGGATCGCCAAGATAACCTAGTACCACGGAGAAATAGGCGTTCAGAACGTCAATGTCTCCAGGGGGAATACTAGCAAACGTATCTAGCCAGAACACATCCTGCTCCAACATATGAGAGTTTGGTGGCTGTTGAACCATCTGGCATGGAGCCGTCAAAAAATTTTCTACTTCAAATGCAAGCCAGGGAAGACAGCCCTGAAGAGTACGGCTAGCCACAACGGCCTTCTTCTTAGTGGTCGCCCCAACGGCATATCTACAGAGAAGGTATTCTCCAGTAACGATGAGTGGTTGGTTATCCGGGGAACGACCCGAAGACGAGATATTTTTTGGTCAGCGGCGTACCTCCCTCCAGTACGGTCTCCATATACAGAGACTCAAAGGGTAAGCATCAAGCTACTTTAACCATCAATCTTATCGGTTCTTTTAAGGGCCACCTAAGTTTTAACTACCTTGCCGACAAATACATTTTCACTACTATTTCCGGAAACGATTCGTCGACTCAAAGACTATGTGAATCCGGCCACTATTAAACTAAGTCAGTCATTCACTGGCAGACGTCACAAGTGGAGTTGTTCATCGCAAGGCTGGGAACCCCGATGACCGACGACCCTATATTACCCTCTCGACTTGAAGCATTCAACCAGGAATCAGCGATCCTCTCTAAGGTCTGCGCTGGGGGGGTATTCCATAACTTCCACACCACGCCACGCCACAGACTGACCGTACGTTATCATTTACTAATAAATTGTAACGTGTTGTTAAGTTTTGGCGTGGCATGGTGCAGAATTTACGGAATATCCCCCTGGGAGAACCGATCATCTATTAAGGAAAAATAAACTTGAACCAACGGGACAGTCTCCAATGGGCAAGCACTACGTACCAATCTCTCCACCTTCGATCACCAAAACAACTGAGTCTGCAAAAAAAGAAAGTCCTTTAGACACCAATGTCTTTGACGTTATACCAGGAGACGTTGGGAAAGAACTCTACAACTAGCTCCAAAGCTTCGGACTTTGCAGTTTTCCTCCCGATCAGTCTGGTGCAATATAATAATAGGCTAGAGAAGATCACCCTGAGGTAAAGAGGCAATCACGTTTGCTGGAAACTTCAGTCAAGAAAAAGTTCACTTAAGAAGCTCACCAGTCCATTTTAGGGTGATCGGACGTCGAACTATCTTGCCAATAAATATATTATAACCTAATAAAGTTTAAAGAAAAGCCTTTATTGTTCACAAAAGTCTTAACTATGCCAAAAGTCGCAAGAAGTCGAATTCGAAGAAAAACCTTAAACACGTCTAATAAATACAATTTTAGGTGTCAAAAAAATCACACTGAACATTTATCGAGATTGAAGCAACATCAAAATCAACAAATAAAGAATTTATCAAGTAAGAGATCAACTTTTCACTATAACCCTTATAGTAGAATGTAGAGATTAAGCTCCAGGACTTTTTTTTGCTGTGGTAATAAAGTTGAGAGATAGGAGAAACATTTTTTTTCTAATTATATATTTTTTGTGAGTTTTAAATTTTTACAGCTTAAAAAAATAGTCCTGTTCATAGATTATATGGTAGAAACTGCAAATCAACGGCCTTTTAGGGCCAACGATTATTTTATGGCATAAGAAATGCACGGTACTTTTCAGCATTATTAAATTTTTTCCTTACACCTCCGCCGAAAGTTCATTCCATCTGACCCGATTTTGAGCTAGAAAAAGCCTCATATCAGTCCTGCCATATGTGCGCAGAACGAAGTAAGCAGATATATTTAGTTATATATTCAGCACCGAGAAGTAGCAGTAGTTATACAATATATATATATACATACGGCTAACGGAGTTATAACCTTTATAGTTTATACAACACAGAAAATCATTGGATATTTATTTACATAAATTATTGGACGTATATATATATATATTTTTTGCACAATTTACATGTATATATAAATTTATTAATTTTACATGAACAGAGTACACAACAAAAAATTAAAACTACCAAATTAATGTTTTTTGATCAGTTACTTTCACTTTAATAATTTATTTAGTATATAAATGTAGTATATACATGTCATATTACAAAAATAAACTATGAAATCTTTTATTTAATCGAATTATGCCTATCACAATTATAATAGTTATTGATAATAACCTGATTTATTTTGCACTTACGGATATAAACATTAGGATTTTTAAAATGATCTTTATAGGATCCATGATTCGAATTTAAACGGATTTCTCTTCCTCTCGTTTTGCCAGCACGACCAACCTGCACAAATCCTCGGCCCAATCTGATTCTATAATATATACTACAGTCTCGGCGAGCGTATATATATAGATATACCTATACACATGAACACTCATCTACGTGCATTTAAGTGGTATTGTTCGAGCGACCGATCGATCAACAATAATGCATAATGCACTAAATCTTTGACTGGATCTTTAAACCTTCATTTTTAACAAAACTAAAACCGTGGTGACGAACTTTCGGTGGAGGTGTAAGGAAAAAAAGTATACGTAGGTACCACGGCCAAAAAGTGAGGCTACATCTGACCGGGCATAATATAGCGCGGTCAGTTATAGCCCCACTTTTTGGCCTAGGTACGTAATATACTATTTTCACTTTTTACAGCTTTTTACTTGACCAAATAAACTGTATGGATTCCGAAAAAATATGTTTTCAATAAGAAGATTTTTGGCCCGAGAAGTGTCAGAAGTAGATGTACATTTTTTAACTGAAAATGTTTCATATTACATGTAAACACACTACGGTGTATCATTTAGTGAGTCTCGGGCGAAGCCGAGACGAGGGGCCGCTAGTTCTATATAATCATCTGATTATTTGTGAAATATACTATGAACACAGTATAACAAATATTTCAACAAACTAATTTTACAATTTTTTTTCTTTTTATGACAATTTTTAACATTAAAAATTAGATTTTTTGTTTATCTCTTGCAATCTATAGATTATAATTTACATCATCGTACGTATGAGGTTTTTAATTTAATACTGCTTTTCGAGGCAAGTTGTATTTATTTTTATCAATAAAGTATAAGTAGTTGAACAACGCGCTCTCGGCACTCAGTGGTGGAAAATACAATATGGATGGCCGCTTGTTCCTCCTGATTGGCTGATAGGTTCGATGGCTAAAGAGCCCACCTTATGTATTTATTACACTACGGTATTCTGCTACCGTCTGTCACATAACTATGAAGCTGATTTTTACGTCTTTCTTGGCAAATATCTTTTAAAACTGATCGACACCAGTTTTTTCCAAAGCAGAATCGAAAAGAACGGAATTTTTCTACATGTACATTATAAAATGTCTGCTCAGGTTTTTAATTTTGAGTCGAAAAATGCTTGTACAGCTGATTTTTTAATGCTCTTCCATATGAGCTCGTGTTAAACGGTTTAATTTTAAGCTGAAATTTATCGAGATTTTGTTTGATTTGGAGTATAAACAGAGTTACCATTGGAATCAGTAGATTTTAATCAACCAATTTAAACGTATTTTGTTTCTCAGATTTTCGTAAGGGAGCTCCCTTAATAATCTGTCATAAGAAAATGTCTTCTACCAAAGTTTAAATATGCTTTATAAATTGTAACTTGTAAAAGTTAATTATGAAAGTGATAGAAGCGAAAACTCTGTATTAAATACGATTTGTGAGAATTGAAAAACATAATCTGCCAAACTGGAAATAAAAAGGAGTCAAAGTAATGTTTAAAAATCTGTTAAAAATTGTTTATAAATAGTTTTTTGGATCTACGAGTAAGGTAAAGTATAAATTTATTACGTTTGCAATATCAATAAGCCCTGGATATACGTTTTAATACTCTCATTAGTCATTTGATAGTTATAATGTATTGTGTGAAAATTACAAGTTACCAGTCTTTATGACTTTTACTAAATTTGAGCTGCAGAAAGTTATAATGGGAACGGTTTTTACATACGGACCTTTTGGAGAATATCAGTTTAAACACACATAACTTATTTGAAAAATTGGAATTTTCAATATTCTAAATATTTTTGAATGCTGCAAGTTAATAAAAACTCAAAGTTCAAGGTTTCATTAAATTTTATACTCTTCCAATCTGCTACGATATTTAGGTAATTGAAAATTTGAATGTTTTTAAGCATGTATAAAACTTCTTCTAATAATTATTTATACAACCTTAACTATCAGTCTGACTTACTATATATACGCGTACATGTATACGTAATGGCAGTGCAATAGACTTAGACACAGACTATAATGCTTACAACAATGACACTTGAAATATTTTTCTTTAAAATAGAACATTAAAAAAAAATGCATTTATGAGTTTTTGAAATTTATATACTTTTCACTTAAAAAGCGTAAATATTAAAAAAAGCATTTATAAGCGCACTTATCGCCAGTTCAGGGAAAAAAAACCTTTTTTAATTTTAAAGCAAAAATATTATTTCTTTAATTTTGAGGTATCGAGGCAAAACGCATACTTCTTTTTCAAACATATATTGTATTTTTTTTTAAATTTGTTATTTCAAGTTGTTTTTGTTCAGTGTACACTTACTAAATGATTCAATCTTACGAATTTAATAACATGTCTATATTTTAGATTTCATCTTTATTGTTATGTCTAACTTACAACGTAAGTAAAAAAATTTGTCTTAAAATTACCTTTCTTGTTTCTAAATTTTAAAAATAACCGCATTGTTCCAAATTTTGGAAGGTATTTTGCTGCATACCGATGACTTAAAAAGTACTAATTAATAAATAATTTAGGTTACAGAACTGTTAATTTTAGTTTGAATAATGCTATGATTGCTAACGATGAAAATTTAATTTGGTGTGATCTACAGTGACCCATACGTGAGTCATCAAAGTAATTCATATAAAATTTTGATTTTGAACTTATTTAAGGTGTAAATTATTGACGAATAAGTTGAAAGTAGGTAGTTGAAAAAATTTTTAAAAGTCAACTATTTGATGTAACTCATCTATATTTATTCTTATTATGCGTTGCATCAAAAATTCAAAATATAATCTCTGCAAGCCTTATTCCATTCGAATGTCCTATGATTGGTAGATTCGGATTTCTTCAGAGTGCACTTACACTTTTAGACTAAGTCGTAATACTATGTCCCATCAAAATTACACTCTGTTGTTTAGATTTGAACCAGTACAGCCTTAATAATATTACACAGTTATGCATCACAGGTCAAGCTCTTTTTCAACGAATCTAGGCAGCTCAAAGCTTGCCCTGTGTACCCTATCGCTGTAATAGCGCATATTCATCTTGTCAAGCTCCGCATCCGTGAACACAGTTTTCGGCTCTCTAAAGTTTATTGTCTCATCCAGGCTACCCATCATATAGCCAATTTGTCCCGTAGGATAAGTGGGCACTGACGATATGGCATAACCTACTTTGGGAAATGTGTCTTTGCAGTGATTTAAGGTACGCTTGATCTGATCGAGGTTTGACCAGTAGGTACCGGCTTGGGTACAAATGATACCACCGGGCTTTAGCGCATTCTTCATACGGACAAAGTAGGGCTCCTCAAAGAGACAAGTGGCCGGTCCTATGGGGTCGCTACTGTCTGTTATGATGACATCGAAGCTGTGCTTGTGTTCCTCGACAAATTTGTAGCCATCGCCGATAACAAGCTCGACTTTCGGGTGGTCGTAGCCTGTGGCCATGAATTGCAAATATTTTCGGGACACCTCGACGACCTTTTCGTCGATTTCCACTTGGTAGACCTTCTCGATTTTAGGGAACTTGGCCACCTCGCGAGCAACTCCACCATCACCACCGCCAACTATGAGAACCGTTTTGGGGTTAGGGTGTGAGCAGAGCGGTAGAAAAGAGATCATTTCTTGGTAGGAGAATTCGTCCTTTTCCGTGCACTGAATTATGCCGTCGAGGACTAAAGCTTTGCCATAGGATTTCGTCTGCAAGACGAGAATGTGTTGGTACTTTGAATGTCCATTGTAAAGGACCTCTTCAACTTCTAAGGATTGTGAGATTCCGGGCCATAAGTCGTTGATTTCGCTGAACCAGCCGTTTTTTAACGCATCCATTTTCTGCAGCAAAAAAATCAATCTGGAATAATTATATGAATATTATCTTAATGAATATAAAGTAAATTCATCTGACAGTAGAGCAAGCATCAAACCAAGGAGATTAAAAATTACTTTGCACTATGAAGAAAATAGTTGTAAAGAGTTAGTGACTTTCAGTTGCTTATAACCTATGAAATTTATTAGAAAATCAATAATTTAAAAAAAATTATTATTAACTACCATAGTTCCACACCAAAACACGCTTAAAGTCTTCCAAAATACTTTATTTGCCTGAAACACTACGAATTTTTGATAAAATATAAATTTTTTTTTAAATTTCATCATCTTGTATACATCTATTGAAAACTTATTTAATCAATTAGAAAAGTTAGATAATAGAAAAACGGCTCGGCAAATTACCGCGTTGTAGTTTAATATACTATACTACTATCAAAGATATCCAAAAAAATGTATTACCTTTTTTTGACAATAAACTGAGATGTGAGATTTTTAATACCGAGTCCTATGCAACACGTGTTTAAAGAGTAAATTTCCAATGTTTACATCTCAAAAATCACACCAACAATCAAATTCCTCAATTTTGACAGACTGTAAGTAGGAAATGACTAGAGAAGTCTTTATTACAAATCTCAGGAAAATCTGACCCAAAGTGACTTCGTTACAAACGGCTTTAATGGGTAAGAAGGCACCGATATTTAAAATGAAAGTTATGTTAACATTTAGGACGTGAAATAAACATTTGAATGTCAGATCACGAATTTTGATAGGTAGAAAAGGACCAAGTGATGTTATGTAGTAATAAATCAAACTATTAAATGCCTCTTCAATTTTAATACTATTTATTGCTTATCAAAATCTAATATTAAAAGGAAAAAAGTTCAATCAATTATGTCAAAATTTCATGACTCGCACTTTTACAATAATACGTTGCATGATATTGAACCATTGTTTTCTCAAGCGGTAATTGTTTTTTCAGTGAATCAGCAACAATCATACACTATTTTTATTAAACATTGAAGAGTTTTTTTTTTAACTTTTGAGCGTATGTCTGTTTGTGCAAAGCCTCTTCAACTTAAATTTAAATGTCAGTGTTATAAAAACATTAAATAATATAGTAGTTTTTCGAATATATAAAACATTTATCAATTAAAAGATACTACTTATTCCCAATTTTTTTAAAAGAATGTGAGAATTTTATACTTGAATTTTTTTACTAAAAAAATTTTTTTTTTTTTTTTTTTCAATAAATTTGTTTGTTTTAATAATAAAAATAAAATTGCACGTGTTGTATGTATAACTTTCGTTGAATAAATGATTCAATCTTACGAATTTAATAACATGTCTATATTTTAGATTTCATCTTTATTGTTATGTCTAACTTACAACGTAAGTAAAAAAATTTGTCTTAAAATTACCTTTCTTGTTTCTAAATTTTAAAAATAACCGCATTGTTCCAAATTTTGGAAGGTATTTTGCTGCATACCGATGACTTAAAAAGTACTAATTAATAAATAATTTAGGTTACAGAACTGTTAATTTTAGTTTGAATAATGCTATGATTGCTAACGATGAAAATTTAATTTGGTGTGATCTACAGTGACCCATACGTGAGTCATCAAAGTAATTCATATAAAATTTTGATTATTTGAACTTATTTAAGGTGTAAATTATTGACGAATAAGTTGAAAGTAGGTAGTTGAAAAAATTTTTAAAAGTCAACTATTTGATGTAACTCATCTATATTTATTCTTATTATGCGTTGCATCAAAAATTCAAAATATAATCTCTGCAAGCCTTATTCCATTCGAATGTCCTATGATTGGTAGATTCGGATTTCTTCAGAGTGCACTTACACTTTTAGACTAAGTCGTAATACTATGTCCCATCAAAATTACACTCTGTTGTTTAGATTTGAACCAGTACAGCCTTAATAATATTACACAGTTATGCATCACAGGTCAAGCTCTTTTTCAACGAATCTAGGCAGCTCAAAGCTTGCCCTGTGTACCCTATCGCTGTAATAGCGCATATTCATCTTGTCAAGCTCCGCATCCGTGAACACAGTTTTCGGCTCTCTAAAGTTTATTGTCTCATCCAGGCTACCCATCATATAGCCAATTTGTCCCGTAGGATAAGTGGGCACTGACGATATGGCATAACCTACTTTGGGAAATGTGTCTTTGCAGTGATTTAAGGTACGCTTGATCTGATCGAGGTTTGACCAGTAGGTACCGGCTTGGGTACAAATGATACCACCGGGCTTTAGCGCATTCTTCATACGGACAAAGTAGGGCTCCTCAAAGAGACAAGTGGCCGGTCCTATGGGGTCGCTACTGTCTGTTATGATGACATCGAAGCTGTGCTTGTGTTCCTCGACAAATTTGTAGCCATCGCCGATAACAAGCTCGACTTTCGGGTGGTCGTAGCCTGTGGCCATGAATTGCAAATATTTTCGGGACACCTCGACGACCTTTTCGTCGATTTCCACTTGGTAGACCTTCTCGATTTTAGGGAACTTGGCCACCTCGCGAGCAACTCCACCATCACCACCGCCAACTATGAGAACCGTTTTGGGGTTAGGGTGTGAGCAGAGCGGTAGAAAAGAGATCATTTCTTGGTAGGAGAATTCGTCCTTTTCCGTGCACTGAATTATGCCGTCGAGGACTAAAGCTTTGCCATAGGATTTCGTCTGCAAGACGAGAATGTGTTGGTACTTTGAATGTCCATTGTAAAGGACCTCTTCAACTTCTAAGGATTGTGAGATTCCGGGCCATAAGTCGTTGATTTCGCTGAACCAGCCGTTTTTTAACGCATCCATTTTCTGCAGCAAAAAAATCAATCTGGAATAATTATATGAATATTATCTTAATGAATATAAAGTAAATTCATCTGACAGTAGAGCAAGCATCAAACCAAGGAGATTAAAAATTACTTTGCACTATGAAGAAAATAGTTGTAAAGAGTTAGTGACTTTCAGTTGCTTATAACCTATGAAATTTATTAGAAAATCAATAATTTAAAAAAAATTATTATTAACTACCATAGTTCCACACCAAAACACGCTTAAAGTCTTCCAAAATACTTTATTTGCCTGAAACACTACGAATTTTTGATAAAATATAAATTTTTTTTTAAATTTCATCATCTTGTATACATCTATTGAAAACTTATTTAATCAATTAGAAAAGTTAGATAATAGAAAAACGGCTCGGCAAATTACCGCGTTGTAGTTTAATATACTATACTACTATCAAAGATATCCAAAAAAATGTATTACCTTTTTTTGACAATAAACTGAGATGTGAGATTTTTAATACCGAGTCCTATGCAACACGTGTTTAAAGAGTAAATTTCCAATGTTTACATCTCAAAAATCACACCAACAATCAAATTCCTCAATTTTGACAGACTGTAAGTAGGAAATGACTAGAGAAGTCTTTATTACAAATCTCAGGAAAATCTGACCCAAAGTGACTTCGTTACAAACGGCTTTAATGGGTAAGAAGGCACCGATATTTAAAATGAAAGTTATGTTAACATTTAGGACGTGAAATAAACATTTGAATGTCAGATCACGAATTTTGATAGGTAGAAAAGGACCAAGTGATGTTATGTAGTAATAAATCAAACTATTAAATGCCTCTTCAATTTTAATACTATTTATTGCTTATCAAAATCTAATATTAAAAGGAAAAAAGTTCAATCAATTATGTCAAAATTTCATGACTCGCACTTTTACAATAATACGTTGCATGATATTGAACCATTGTTTTCTCAAGCGGTAATTGTTTTTTCAGTGAATCAGCAACAATCATACACTATTTTTATTAAACATTGAAGAGTTTTTTTTTTAACTTTTGAGCGTATGTCTGTTTGTGCAAAGCCTCTTCAACTTAAATTTAAATGTCAGTGTTATAAAAACATTAAATAATATAGTAGTTTTTCGAATATATAAAACATTTATCAATTAAAAGATACTACTTATTCCCAATTTTTTTAAAAGAATGTGAGAATTTTATACTTGAATTTTTGTACTAAGAAATTTTTTTTTTTTTTTTTTTCAATAAATTTGTTTGTTTTAATAATAAAAATAAAATTGCACGTGTTGTATGTATAACTTTCGTTGAAAGAATGAAAAGAATAAATGTTAGTTGTAAAAATTTATTTTCAGTTTGTACTGCAAATATCGCGTACTGGCGTTTAAATGCGTCAAAAATATTTGATGCACGATAAAAGTTGGATTTGGTAAATAACGATAAGATAAGAAGGCTAGCACAGGCGCAAATTTGATAATCGAATAATCATGTACTTATAATTAGACGTTTATGATGTTACAAATATGTTAAGAGTCATTTATGATTCCTACATAGCTACCTATATGTATCGCTGTTATGTATTAATTTGTTATCGTCATTGGCTTAAAAACCAGCATTTGATTTATTGTTAATCAATAACATGCATGGAAACGGGGATCTATATTTTATTTGGCCTCTGAACAATTGTACGGTGGTTAAATTTATCATGTATGAAATAAACCATATTAACAAAGTTTTAATATTACGTTGATCAGTTAATCTAAAATTTTAATTTTCACATCAAGATGTAAGTACAGTAGTTTCAAAAGAATGTAAAAATAATTTGTTCTGGATTTCTCTTGTGAGTATTAGTTAAAATCAATGAAGCACAGTTTAAATAAAAAAAAGTATCGATAAGGGGCGTAAGGTTATCGTTTCGGGCCTTAGTCATGTGGACTAAAATAATTTTTTTTTCCTCTAATTTTTTGATGATTAACTGAAAAAAGTTTTCAGTTTCTTAAAAATTGAGAAGTCTATTAAAGGCAGGAAAAAAAAAAAAAGTTTCCAATTATTGGTTGCACAATAGAACGTATGCCTAGAATTGAAATGCAACCTCGAATTTGGCGCGCTTCTACGACAGTCAAGTGAGTGACGCGCAAGAAGTACACAGCATCTCATAGATCAAGCCACACTGTCAACGATCTTATACCGACCGCTTGAAATGTCTCCGAGCAAAGTGATCTATCGACAGGAAATAAACAAAACCGCAAAAGAAAACGTACCTTCGTGGCAACAAGTGCACTCAGCAATGCGACGTCAGATCCAAAGACCTCCAGCAAACAGGAAAACCCGAAAAACCACACCAAACAGCAACGTGGTAGCCTCCGTAGGTCCCAGGAACGGCGGTCAAACTGAACTGCCAAGACAGCGAGCGTATTTTTTCCAGATATAAGTACACGAGAGAGTATCCGCTTACGAAAACCGGCGCATTGATTGACTGACACATGCAAGTGAGAGAAGGAGAGGAGAAAAGTCCACCGCGACTTGGTATTCGGTATACATCTACTTTCACGCGCACACTGCGTCACAAATATATATGTGCACGCACAAGAACTTCGGAGGAGCGTCGTCTGTGTTTTTTCCGTGTACGCGTAAATGATAATCGAGCTGCGGTACGAGGAAAAAAAAATTTATCTAGAGACATAATTATAGATACACGTTTTGTAAGTGTGGGCGCTCGTCTCGATCGTTGAGCGTAAAAAGTGTGGGTAAAAGCCTATTTTTGGGGATAGATTACACAAATCTACCTGGTTTTTACACTTTTAACAGGATATCCTTTGTTTCTCCTAACAAAAAAAGTCGGTCTCAAATGAACATCATAGAAGTCATTTGCAAATAATGTGCGGAATTAAGACCTTAGAAAATGGTATCGAAAACTAGGCAAATCATTTGAAAACAAAATCCATGTACATTGTGAGCTAATAAACATTTTGATCTCATTTGCAAATGTAAAACATAAGTTATTATTGAACGTCAACAAAGTATACACCCGATGAATCGGCATCATATTTTAAAAAAACATGAATTTATTTTGAAGGGCTCGAACAATTTTTTTCTGGAGAAACCTGTGACCCAAATGAATACTAATAATATTCAAAACAATTAGTTTTTCTCTAGAAAAGGATTTCGATCCCATCCTTATTTATTTTAAATTCTAAACTACAGTTAGAGAAAAAAATGATTCTAAAAAAAATTACCATTTTACTCAGTAAATCGGATGCAAGCTGGAAAAAAAGCCAAATTTATTTTAAATAGAAAAAATTATTATTTTAACAGTTAAAATCATAGTTTGAAAAGTAAAAATTATGGTCAGAACAGTGAAAATTTCTATACTGGAAAATAAAATTTATCAATCGGTCCTTTCAAGGTTTACTGTTCCAGCATAGTAATTATTATTGTGCTAACAGTAATTTTTACTTTTTGAATTACAATTTTAATAAACTGTTAAAACAATATACTTGACTATAAAAAATAATCATTTTAATAAATTTATATAAATGTTTTTCTTTTTACTGTGCAGAATGGTAATTTTTGTTGGAATTTCTCTATAATTTTTATTATTTTTTCCTCAGTGTAGATTCGTTGTAATAAACCACCATGGATGAGTACTATTTCAAACCATTAAATTGTAAAACTTGTTAAATTGCATTTAGAAATGCAAGCATGGCTACGTTATAGTTGTACTCACTGCGTTGATAGTCAACGACAGAATGCCTCTTTCGCGCATTTTTTTTTGGTCAGCACTTTTTCACTTTATTGCTGTTGCATCGATGAAAGCAAGTTGCCAGCACTAGGAAGCAATAAAATCCAACAAGACTTGGAAGAGAAATGACTTCATTTCAAAAGCCATTGAATTCATCAAATACGTATCAATATCTATGTCGTATGTGCTTCCAAACTTCTGAGTCTCTTAGTGTTTTATCGATGAAATCAAACAGTTTAAAAACAAATTTTTTGTTTAAAAAACAATGACGGCTTCAAGTGAAAAAATAAATAGTTTTATAAATTTCAATAATCAATATTATTCTGAATATACGTATTGATAAACATAATTTTGAAGAACAAAAGTGCTGCTTGTCAATAAATTGTGATTTCAGTGACTTGATAATAAATATTTTACTCATTTTCCGACGTGAGAAAAAAAAAATTTTTGTACTTCACTTTTATAAAAAATTGTAGGGCGATGAGAAAGCAGACTAATGACCATTTAATATATTACATTGAGGCTAGCTTGCATGATGTAAATTTTTCAACCTAATCAAATAAAAGTTTTTTCAGTTATTTTGAATTGAATTACATTTTTATCAGTTTAATTATTTTTAATGTGTTACTACATTGGGCAACTGACATGTTATTTGAGCTAAGCTTACGCTTACTGTTCGGTAGCAAAGTTAAGTCGTAATAAACTTAAGGGGATGGGAATGAAATAATAATGTAGACTGTGTTGCCAAATTATTATTATTTTGTGATTAAAGAGCAATACGAGTGGCTATGGTACTATAATAAATTATTTCATGCGTTGAGTATAATAATAGTACATTTGTAACTGATTACAACAATAAAGAGTAACAAATGATTTCGGATTAAACGCAACTGACGGTATCATGTGTACCGCTTAATCAATAGAGATAACATCAAGAAATGGCAAAAAAACTGTTGCGATAATAATAATAACAATAACAATATTTTAGCAAAACTATACGACCCTACGTAGTAACGATGAGTAATTATAATTAAAGTAAAAAAAATTATATTAATGCAAATACAATTGCATTTTAGTGTGGGTACAATAAGTATAAAAATAATAATTGTACTGGCTATAACAATTGTAAATAATGCATTCTGAATCCAACTGGGAAAATTGATAAAGTTACTCATGCCCTCCACGTACTAATTGCAATATTTTATTGTCGAAACGTTATTTTATTAAAAAATGAAAGTAAAAAGAGGCTCATCTCTAGATATTGGCTGTGTGTATAACTTACTTGCATCCTAGCTAAAACGATATCCAGCGTTTATGTCAAACCCGTCATACTCTCGGAATTTGTTTGTCGATTTACCTATGCTAGGGTGTTTGTGGCGTCTGGTCTGTCACATGAGAGATGATTCAGGAGCAATAAAGGTTACGAGATGCTTGTACTCTCGAACTCGTTTGGAGGTGATATGAAGATGCAAGGTACTTTCGCTTAAAAGAGCTGCACATGCGGATGGACCCGTGTGTCGAAAAACAGGAGAACAAAAGGATAGTTTTCGGAATACGAATGGGCTGAATTTGAAGAATGAGTTGGAAATTGTGTTAAGCAAGTTTGACCACATTAACGTATATATGTTACGTAAGTAAACAAAAACAACATTCAGTTCCGATAATAATGCCACTACATCAAATGTTTCCAAATGTTGAAATGTAATAGTTAAATGTTAAAAGTAATTGTTTTTTTTTTTTTTTAATTCATCGAAGCTAAACAAGCTGCTTTATTTATACTTTCATTTTACACAATTAAATTATGAGACATAACTGTAGATCTTGATAAAAAAATTATATACCACTTTTTTTTTGATACACGTCTTACCGCAGTAGGCAATGCAGATACCTTTTAGTGCAAAACAGGTACAAAAATAGTGCAAAAATATTGTGTTAGGAAAAAAATCTGATTCTAAAACAAATTTTAACCAGCAAAAATTTTTTTTAAATCCAATGAAAAACGTTGGATAGAACGTAAAATTTTTATTTAGCAGTAATTCACCAAATATTGTATAAAAATTTCATAGATCTCATTAAATTACATTTTTATGTAAAGTACCATTTTGTCTTAGTAAGTAATGAAAAGGTATTGAATAGCTACGAAATCGTTTAATGTCTCCTTACTTTTCCGTTGGCAATTTACAGACAAGACTTACTTGTATAATAATACTTGTTTTTAATACAAAATGAAACTTAAGTAATTATATTAAAATAATATTCTACAACCACAATTTTCTCTTTCACGCTACATGCAAAAATCTAAGATTTTTGTATAAATTTAACTGCCTGTTAATTTATTTCTGTAGCGGACAAAAATGATTTTTTCAATTTTCTTGTGTTTTTTTACATTGCATGTTATATTAAATCGTATGATATAAAAATTTTAGTTCATTCAGATCTACAACTTAGTTTGCTTACATAAACTTGTAAAATGTCTGTGTTGAAAGATATAACCAAAATTTTGTTTTTTCAACCTACGTTTCTTTTTTTTTTTTTTTTTTTTTTTTTTTTTTTTTTTTTTTTTTTTTTTTTTTTTTTTTTNCAATTTAAGCACAATCAGATGATTACTTGAGTTAATAAAAAATTTCAATTACGTACACGTACACTTACATGTATACATACACGCACCATAAGACATACTAAGATCATCTTGATAAAAGATTAAAAATATTATTTTATTTATAGTGGTAGATAATTTAGGGGTGGTCACACTTTTTATCTGACAAAAACATAAAACACTTCCATTCAATCAATGGTGCCTAAATATTTAATTTTAAATAAAACTTTGGAGAAAAAACGAATAAAACGGAGAAAAAAAAATTATACTCCAGTAAATCAGCCTGCTTACAACTGTTGTTTTTGTGCTCTTAACTCCACATTCTTATCATTCCAGCACTGTTTTATGTTTCAATATTTTATTTTTATCGTCAAGTTTTCAGTCGAAGAATATTAATTTTTTGTAATTGCTACGATGGTAGATACTCGGTTATGATATGGTGATGATGTGCTAGAGGAGCAATTTGTCGAGTTTGGCCAATGAACCTGCACTCGCGACATAATTTATTTTGATAACCCATGCGTATATTTTTTGTTATTAGAGCCTTCGTTGCTTAAACGTTTTTCCAGCGCATAGCCTTGACGATGTTCAGTATGCATGGTATACTGTACAAAATTCGTTTACACAACGGGCTGTCCAACTAATGGAACCTTGAAAATTTTCGTATCGATTTAAAATTCAATATATTAGGAAAACAGTTTTAGGAAAAATGTCATCAAATTAACATTTCTCAGTATGAGTTTAATACCAAACGACGCTGTTCTAGCAAAAAAATATGTTTTTCTACCTTGACTCGAAAAAAATGAGAAAATAAAAGATTCCTCAAAAAGCTCGTTAACGTGTACTCATTAGCCAGAATTTTTATCCGAGAAAATCGTGTTATTCAAAAAAACATCATGTAAGTGATCTCTTCTTTTCCTTTTTACCAACACCTGTATACGCTCGTCTTTTCCGTTACTTTCTTTTTTGTGCCCCAAATCCGATGGAGATGGGGGGGGGGGGGTACACAATTTCCAGCTCGAAATACGCTCTTATTTTCAGAACGGGAATATCATTTTCCAAGAAGATATTGATATCCACGAGGAATTTGGAATGCTTTTTTCGCCGTCGAACGTCATGAATGCCTTCCGAC